ATGCATGTTATTTCAATCCTCATGGACATTAACATTACATCCACGTTTTCATTACAGGAAAATGTTCAGAAGTTAAGTGTACGTGAAGCTTAAGACCAGTAGTGACCCAGGGGTACTTGAGCCAGGCCTGTCTGGTTGTCCGCCCAGTCTTTGTCCACTCCACCCCAGTGTCTTATGGAATACCAGGGAACAATGTTCTGCCCAAATCTCAAAGATTACTTTTTTTCCTCCAATGGAAAACCATGGCCATATTTTTCAGAGGAGAAAATCTGCAAGTCCATAAGATCATTTAATAGACATGTATTGAATAACCCTCTAGGGATTAGATTGCAATTCTAGCAAAAGAGGAGAGAGAGAGAGAGAGAGAGAGAGAGAGAGAGAGAGAGAGAGAGATATCAGGTAGGCAGAACAAACAAGAGGGGACACTTTCCTTTAATAGCCGGGCACAGTGGCACATGCCTATAATCCCAGTGGCTCAGGAGGCTGAGGCAGGGGGATCGTGAGTTCAAAGCCAGCCTCAGCAAAAGCAAGGCCCTAAGCAACTCAGTGAGACCCTGTCTCTAAATAAAATACAAAATAGGACTGGGGATGTGGCTCAAGTGATCAAGTACCCCTGAGTTCAATCCCTGGTATCCCTCCCCAAAAAAAGATAGGGCAGAAGGCCACACCTCCAGAGCTGAGTTCAAATCCTGCCCCCCATGTGGGCCAGCTGTGTAGCTTTGCATGAGCTTTACCTCTGAGCTTTCAGGTCCTTATCTTTAAACTAGTTTTCGCTCGGCTTCTCTCAGAGAGGAGTGTGAAAGTAAGTGATAATGTGAATAAAATGTACCTAGCAAAATTCTTGATGGATCTCCATTCCCCGCCCCCCTCACTTCCTTCATCTTGGAAGTGTTCTGCGTGTGTTCTTCCCACAGTTGTGATTCACATTAGGCCCCGATTCTGCATTCACTTTGATACAAATTGCTCGCAATGAGAGAGTAATGGGTTAAAATAAAGTGAACTAAGGGAGTCCTAATCCCGTCAGGCAGAGTACTCGAAGGTCCAGGGGGTTTCTGGGTTCCAGCTGGTAATCCATCCCACCAGGTTTTAATACTATATTTCTAACGCATTAGAACCTCACAGCTGCACCACTAATCGTTCCATTAGGAAATGAAATTTTAATTAAAAATAAGAAATAATTCATGAAGGTTTAAAATACAGAGAGCTAAGGAGATCATGTTGTAGAGAGAGCCTGGGGGCAGAGACAGGAAAAAAGCAGGGCATGAGTCCCTGCTCTAAGGCCAGATACCCCTGGGAAAATCATGATTTCTTCTGGGCTCATTTCCTCACTGGTTGCAATGGTTTGAATGTGTTCCCCAGATGCTCATGTTGGAAACTTAATCCCCAAATTTATATATTAATGGTATTTAGAGGTGAGGCCACTGGGGTACCTAGGATTAGATGAGGTCACGTGGGTGGGGCCCCTATCCTACCATTAGAGGATTTATAAGAGGAGGAAGAGAGACCCAAGCTGGCATGCTCACTCTGTCTCACCATGTGATGCCCTCTGCTGTGCCATGATGCAGCCAGAAAGCCCACAGCACATACCAGCACCATGTTCTTGGACTTCTCAGCATCCAGAACCGTGAATTAAATGAACCTCTGTTCTTTATAAGTCATCCAGCCCGTGGTACTCGGTTATAGCAACAGAAAATGAATAAGATGCCAGTAAAATTCTTAAATTTTTATATCTCTAGCTTCTGTAAGATTCCAAGAGTCGATGATTTACAGACGAGATTATTTTAAGTGTTAAGAATGTAGTTTCTGTTTAAAGAGCATAAATTCAATGAACCCCAAATCAAATCAACCAGAGGCTTGATTTATTCCAAATTCACCTTAGAGTGTTTTCTGTTTCCTTCTTTTCTTCCTTTTTTTCTTTCTGTCTTTATTTTTGTTCCCTTTATCTGTTGTAGTGGTTATGATTGCTATTATCATCATTTGTTTTTTTCTCTTGTAATTTATTTTTCTATTCTCCACTTCTGTTAATTTTCCTCTTCAATTGATTCTAATATAAAATAAAGACATAATTGGAAATATTTTTATTTAAAAATTTTTGAATATTTATTTCATACTCTTTTTTTAAAAATTTTTTTTTAGTTTTTGATAGACGTTTGTTATTTATTTATTCATTTATATGTGGTACTGAGAATCGAACTCGGTGCCTTACACATGCTAGGCAAGTGCACTACCGATGGGACACAACCCCAGCCCCTATTTCATATTCTTAACTTTAATATTAGATGGGTTGAACATATGTTTCTGTCTCTCAATAACATACATTAATTATTATTATTATCATTGTTTTCTTGTGGTCCACTGATATTTTTTTCCCCAATTGATGAATATATATGTATATTCATTCCCATGACAGGGGAAATAAGAAGATTAGTCCAGGGGAAGCTCACACTAGAGAAATAGCAGATTCCTAGAAGACACTGTGAATTTACTGTGTTTACCCCTTCCTTTTATATTTTCATTATAAAAGCAGAGATGACTACTTGACCATAAAAGAAAAAAGGTTGTGTTAGTCAATTGCTGTGACAAAATACCTGAGAAAATGAACTTGATAAATAAAAAAGGTACATTTTGGCTCATGGTTTCAGTGCATGGTAACTTGGTTCTATTGCATTAGGCCTGTGATAGGACAGTGTGTCAGTGGTAGCGTGTGGCAGAGGAGGCCTGTTCATTCATTGGCCAGGAAGCAAAGAGAGAAAGAGGATGGGAGCAGGTACCCAACAGCCCATCAACAGAATGCCCCCGGTGACCTAATTTCCCTCCACCAGGTCCTTTCTTGAAAAGGTTCCACCACCTCCCAATGGTGCCACAGGCTGGTGGCCAAGCCTTTAACACATAGGCTTTGGGGAAGCTTTCAAGATTCAAACTATAGCAGGATTTTCAATATCATTTTCACATCATTTGCCTACGAGAAAGTATACTTTTCTGATATAATCAGAACAAAATTAAAAATAAATGTCAAAATCAGAAAAAAAAAAAAGAAGAGGGGTTATCTTCACCTTTGCTATAGCTATTTAATCATTCAGAGTGGAAACCGTGCTCCTTGTGACCGCTGGCAGGGAGGCTGTGCCAGGCCCTGCTCTCCAGAGGGCTGTGGGGGCCACTCACCCTTCAGTCAGAGTCTCTTATCTTTGATGCCCAAGTCTAAGACGGAACTGGCCATTCAACATCATTCGAGTGCTCCTTGAGCCCTTCCTGCACACGTGGCACCTCTGTGGACTCCTGGACCCTGGGTGGACTTCTAGCAGAGCACCTGCAGTGCCTTCTCCTTCTTCATTGACTAAGTCACCCGGGACCCCTCTTCCTTCTGTCAGGCAGCAAAGACCAGAGGGCACGGGGCCTGATGGGCTTGTTTCTTTGTATTTCTACCCAGGTCCTCATGGAAAGAAGGGTTGAATAAATCACCAAAGGAACATGTAAGTTGCCCTGAGATCAGGGAGAGGAGGATTAATACACACACACACACACACACACACAAAACCTCTGGAGATAATAATGCAAAATTAGGCCAGTAAATGAATGAACAGGGTAACAAGTTGATTAGTCAACAACAATGAACAAAGGGCGTGAGAAAGATGCCCAGCAGTGTTCTGGGGAGTGGAGACACCAAGCTGAGGGACCTTGACCTCAGCTTGATTGAACCCAGGGACACTTAACCACAGAGTCACATCCCCAGACCTTTTAAATTTTCCTTTTGAGACGGGGTCGTGCTAAGTTGCATAGGGACTTGCCAAGTTGCTGAGGCTGGCTTTGAACCCGCCATCCTCCTGCCTTGGCCTCCCACGCCGCTGGGATTACAGTTGTGTGCCACTGCACTTGGAAGAACCTTGGCTTTTTAATGAGCCTTCACAAACTTTGTATTACAGATTGGAGGACTCAGGTCAAACAACTTGACGAGCAGCATGGCAGGGAATCACGACCCCAAGTGTCATAAACGCTATGGCCATGCGACAAGCAAGGTCTCAAGTGCTCTCTCATTTACATAGCCCAGGCCTGTCACCAGGCTGAGGCTCGAAGAGCTGGCTGACACAGCCATGGTGACACAGCTGCTAAGTGGAGGAGGCAGGTTTGAACCCAGGCTCCAAGCTTTGCCATCTTCATTGTATGCTCTACAGTGACCATGTTCCCTTCTGCCACGCGGCCAGCGCTGGCTTCATGAAAGAAGGTTCGGTTCATAAGAAATTACTAGGGAGTTTTTAATTAAAGAGACAGACTCTCATTACCTTTAACACCAGCTCCGAGAGGGCTTCTCCTAGCTCCCGCCTCCAGCCACCTAATGCAGTGGCAAGGTTTACTGAAGAGGGGAGAGAGAGAGAGAGAGAGTGAGAGAGAGAGAGAGAGAGAGAAAGAGAGAACACGCCAGGGAGTGGGCTTTTATTGGGGAACAAAAAATCCCAGGGAAAATCCCATCCAATGAAGGTTAAGGGGGCAGCATCCCAAGGTCAGGGGTGACGACTGGGTCTTCAGGACAGTGGCCAGGCCCACCTCTGCACGGACAAGCCCTCGGACCTGGGAAAGGGTGGGGAATGGCTCAGACACAGCTGTATCTAAGCGCCTCTCACCCAGCCAGGGAGGTAACTCAAATCACGTGTGAGATTGGCCTCCCACATTCCCTACACTGACATACTGTCACCAGGTGAAGAACTGCTAAGTACAGAAATAACAGTAACCTGAAGCCAGTCCAGCATAGTCACCTTGAATGTAAAGGACTTGGAAAGTATAGGAAGGATTTGAGTGAGTGTCATTCCTCATTTCTCTCTCTCTGCCTGTCTCTCTCTCTCTCTCTCTCTCACACACACACACACACCTCTCTTCTACTCTTTCCTTTCAATCCTTACTCAACGCCAACCTCTCCTATCAGGAATGACAGTAACTGACTTCATCATACAATAGTCCTGCTGATATTTTGCATTTGGAGAATTCAACTGAAGACCACTTTGGGCATCTTACCTTAAACAGTTGCTTTATCTACAAAGAGGGGGGACCAGAAAGCAGAAAGTAAGACAGACGTCCAGCTTCCTTAGCCAAGCAGGACCCACGTGCTGGGAGAACTGGAGCCACTATAGGCAAGAGTTGGTCCTCTCTTGCAAGTCCAGGGGTCTCTCCCCAGGGTCCAGTGGTCTCTCCCCAGTGTCCCATATCCAGCTCACACCATGGTGCTTTTCTTCCCCAGTGGGGCAGGATCTTTCATATGAAGGCCAGGCCCCCTGGCCCAGGGGGCCCCAGGAGTGCTCTGTGGCATCATCACCAGGCGTATGGAGGGCGGGGCGTCCGCGGTGGCCTCGGGAGCATACTCCTTACTGGGGTCCTTGCCTCGGCAGTCATAGAGCACACAGGAGATGAGGAACACCAGGAGCAGGATGACATAGCTCACAACTAAGATGATCAGGTTCAAGGTGACAGGGTCGATCTCCAAGTAGAACTCCATCACCTCTCCTACGTGGGGACGTGGACCTAGCGGAAAGGCATTTGGGGTCAGTTTTGGCCCGGCAGGGAGCAAACTGTAGTTCATTAGAATAGCTCCATGGACTCTGTTGTAAAAAAAAAAAAAATACAATAATCCCCACTGTTCCAGGAAACCTTGAGGATTAGAGCTGCTCTGTTTAATAACTTAAGCTCTTGCTGTTAATACCCCAGAGCCACCAAATCACAGACACCGTCTCTCCCCAGTTCCCCTACACAGAGAGAGAAAGAGAAGGAGAGATGGTTCTCATGCTACGAAATCCTGGTACGTAAGGAGTGACCACAAAAATCCCCCATGGAATTTTTGGTGAGCCAAAGCACCGTCAATAAGCACACCGAGATTAAAGTTAAGAACCTGGATTGTCCTGGGCCAACTGCATTGTTTTCATTTAGTAAGGAAAGTTCAATGCCAAGTATGGAGTGATTGGGGCTATCAAGCCGGTGGCCTTTGGGAGTGGTTGTATTTCTTTAACAACAGGAAAACACCAGTAGCTGGCATTTTTACCCTCTCTTCATTCCCCCCCCCCACACTCGTCAATTAAAAAATAATTCTAGTCCTTCTCCTGTGTTTCAGGCTCTGTGCTAAGCAAGGAAAGTGTGACAGAAATAAGATACAGATGCATTTAGTCACCAGGGCCGATAGATGTTAAATAACTGCACAGGGCACCCTGGAGGAAGGCTGGGAATAGTGGGTCACAAGAGAAAACAGACAGACCCCAAGAAGCAGCAGCTCCTATGAAGAAGCAGCACTTAACCTTTGACCTGAAGGATAAGTGGAATTTAGCTAGGTGAGGTTAGGTATGGAAAGTTCTCTGGCTACAGAGAACAGCCTTTGTGGATGCTCTGAGCAGCAAAGGCCTGGGCAATCGGAGGAACTGGAACAAGGACAGTGTGAACTGGAGCATCCAGAGAGAATTGGGGAGCGCAAGGTGAGAGAGGAAGGAAGGGGGTCAGGTGGCACAGGGGCTTGTGGGCCACTGAGAACCTCAGACTTCCACCTTGAGCAATGGGATGCCACTAAATAGCTTAGGTAGGGGTGTGACGCCATCCATTTGCATTTTAAAAAGATCCTTGGCTGCTGTGTGGATCAGGAAGACATGCAAATTGAAAGGAAGATCAGATACAAATTAGAACATACTTATTGATTTACAATCTTTTTCTTGTCTCAGTTGTAGCCCTGTCTCCATACTCCTAAATAGGGCCAGCCAGCTTCCTGGGAGTGTAATTGTGCAGGAGACCAAGGCCCTTTGCTCAGAGTACTCACTTGGTTTAATGCTTTACTCTTACTCTCTTGAAACTATTCATAATTTTTAAATTTTGCATTGAGTGCCATAAATTATATATCTGACTTTGGTCTCATATGTATTTTGGTGGTCCCAAACAGTGTACCAATAGCCATTTCTCCAACAACTAATGGGATTCTCTTGATACATATAGTTAAAGGCTAGTGCTTCCAGAGGTTGGCTATTTCCTTAACATTGATAAGCTTTAGTGGACTGGCAGCTTTTGGTCAAGCTCCTTGATACACAGCTTCCATGGGAAATTGAAAGGTCAGGGGTGCTGTAGAAGGGAGTTCTTATTCATCAGGAGACCTTCCCCTCCTACCCCCCAAATAAAATACTTCCTGATTCTTTGCTCCTGGAGTAACCTGTGGGATTATACTCAAGAAGATGAACAGTTCTTATACACCAGAGGTTTAGGGGTAGCCTCACTGGAATCCTTTGGCTTCTTAGGAATACAGATTCTGTGTCAACCACATCGACTGAGTTAGAATCTTTGGGGCTTGAGTCTGGGAGTCTGCATTGAATAAAATTCTTCATGCATAATTTTGATATGCAACCAGGATAGAGAGTCCTGGACATGAAGAGTGAAAAAAGGATGTGAAGGAAAGGATCAGCAACCAGGAGTCTTGATCAGGTGCCAAAAACATCCCAGCTGGCATTCAACACAGAATTCAAGGCTCTGAGTCCAACAGGTTCAGAGAACGAATTTTGTCCAGAGGAAAAATTTTTTTTTTCCATGGTGGCAATTCACATTTACCAAGCTCATAAGAGACTGATGTTAAAAATACAGAATAGCAATGCATTAAACTTCCGTGACCAATGCAATTGTTCCAGGGTTGGGAGTGGCTTGTACTCCGAAGACCACAGCTTTTCTTCCTGGAGGCTTGATCTACAGGAAGAAATTTCCATCAATCATTGGGAAGACTCCTGATGAGCGCACAATCCCAGGAAGTGGAGGGGTCCGTTGCATCTGGAAATCACATGCTACACAACCGAGAGGAAGCAAGGCTTAAAAAGCAGCACTGTACTCCAGATGATTGCTGTCTTTCACCCACGCTCAACTCCAGATTCTTGACTTCTATAGGGAACTGAGCGTATGGCCCTGGTGCCTCCATGAAACCATTTAGGGGAGTTCTTTGGTGCCTTTAAATAGGATGGCACAAGGATTTGTTAAGAATTGACTCTGAAATGAGAACTACATACAGCATGATCTGCATTAGATTAGAGTGATCTGCATTAGAGTCTACACAACAACTCGGTTCTGTGGAGTGGCATTTTCACAATCCGTTCTAGGTTTCTCATTGTAGTGGTGATACTCCTTCACCGTGGGGGTTGATCTGGTCAGCCTTCTTGCATTGTCCCAGCTGTGCTGATCTTCCCCTGGGGTCCCAGAAAGTTATTCAAGATCACTGTTCTTGACTCCAGTATCTTATTACTATTTGCATAGTTTTTTTTTTTTGTCTCTGTTTTGCCCAGTGCTCAGAGTTCATTTTAAGTTCATCCTCCTCCTGGAGGCTTCACTTCCTTTCAGTGTCTTGGGTGAACTGTTGCCTACCTATTTTACCGATTTAACCTGGAGGATGTCTGCTTTATTCCTATTGGGGCCAACTTCCCATCTTGCCTCATTTCTGTCTTTCAAGGACTTTCCTCTTGCGCCATCTAGTGGCCAAGGCAGAGGCTGCTCAACAAAGAAAACCTTTGTAGGCCACAGGGAAATGAGGGTGGTCAGTACTATTTAGCAGAATAGGGGCCTATAGCTATTAACAACACATTTCAGAACAACCCCTTGAAATCGTGGGGACATACTCGTTCTTTCATTCACTACAAACATGAATTGCACACTTACTAAAGGCTGGCGAGGTGCTAGGCATTTTGGAGCTTGATTATGTGATAAATAATGAAATGGCACTACACACTCCATGTGAGAGAACTCCGATGAAAAAATGAATTATTAAGCCCATTTCTGGAAAGAGAAAATTGAAGCTCAGAGAAGTCATGTAATTCTAATGAGCTCATTCTTGTTCCCTTCCCCCTCTTACTCTGTCACCTCTCTTTTCTAGTGCCTGAAATATGAATCAAATTCTTACATAGAATGCCCTATGTTGTAGGGTATTTGAAACTCCTGGAATCCTTACCTGTATGCACATTTATTTGCATTACAGTCCATTTTAACTGCTGATCTGGAACATGACTTCCTAAATACCTGGCAAATGTGTGTCCCATATAGTTGCGAAACTCTAGTTGTATTTCTAGGCAACTGGAGTTAATTGCTTAAAATACCAAAAATATATTTTTGTGTGTGTGATTTTACTCTTCTGGAAGGGGAATTTACCTCTGGTATTACATTCGGAGTGCCTTGTGTCCTCAATAAAATATGGTATCACAAAAGTCTTAGTGCAGTGTTAGGTTTTAATAACTCCAGGGCTGAAAAATGTCACAAATATCCCCCAAAGACCATTGGAAATTTCATTATTTTCAGGATACTATTTTTGAGCACATTTAGACTCAGTGACAGAAACAAGGCTTTAAGGCAGGTTTTTTTGAATTCTAGTCTAGTTGCCTTTATTCACTGGAACTCTCAACTAGATAGAGTGAAACTTGAAATAACAATGGATGCTGTATAAACTAGCATAGAGAGAATGACAATAATGACAAAAAACAAATGCTAGGCACCTATATTTTCAAAAGACAACTTGCCCTTCAAATCTGCACTGAGGACAGACCCCTCCTCCCAATCCACGGCTCTTCTTAGCTTCCCAGTTATAAATCTAGTGGGTTGCTCCTCTGGGAACCCCTGGAGAAATGCTGCCACACTTTTATCACAGAACAATTTTATCTTTGAATAGTATGCCCTTAACCCCAGTTTCTATCCACATGGAACCTCAAAATGTGACTTTATTTGGAAACAGGATCTTTATAGATATAAATAGTTAAGATGAGGTGTTACTGGATAAGAGGGCGTCTTGAATCCTGAAAGAAGGAACAAGGCTTGTCATCTTAGCAAATGCCCATTTATTGAGGAACAGCTTTGCATATTTATAGAGCCAGGGGTGGTTTGACAGTTGGCATGGGGTGCTTTTGATTGGAAGGTAAGGATCAGGTGAGCCAGCAGGGCTAGTCTGATTGGTGGGTAGGATCAGGTGAGCCAACAGGGCTCTGATTGGTGGGTAAGGATCATGTGAGCCAGCAGGGCTCACCATTGGACGGCTCTTCTTGGGGGATGGGGAAGTTAGTCTTTGGAGCCGGGGCCACTCCCAACAAATCCAGTTACTGGTGTTCTTATAAACTGATCATGTGAAGATAGAGAGACACACAGAGAGGAATACCATGAGGAGATGGAGGCAGAAATAGGAGTGAGGTGTGTATAAACCAAGGAACACCAGATGCTGTGTGAGAGAGGCAGGGGACAGGTGCTCCCTCAGAGCCTCAACCAGCCTGCCGCCATCTTGATTCCGACTTCTAGTCTCCCTAGCAGTAAGGGGATAGATCTCATTGTTTTAAGCTACTCTTTTTAATTTTATTTTTTTAGAGCAATTCTAGGGAACTAATGGATGACCTATCTAATGCATAGATAAAAAAAAAAAAAAACAGAAATGGCTCAGAGAAAACTGAAGTATGTTAAGTTCTTTCGGATCGTCCTCTGTTTTCTTTTGGCACTTGCTCTTTATGATTCTGCTCCCTTTTTCTCAGGTATGACAGCAGAACAAAATGTTCACGATGAGAGAATATTCCTGTAGGTGAGATTTACTTCCATAAAAAAATAAATAAATAAAGACCTTCCATTT